GTCAGATGTTAACTTTTATCCTACCATCATCATAATTAACGATCTTTGAGTCTACCTAGTACATCAAATGGTCACAGTGTAACGCATAACATCTTAAGCGGAGAGCAGCGCTTACACAAAGAAGATACATATGGACATATCGGTAGATAGCCAGAAGGCCCCACACATCAGAGGCTGTCTTTGGGTATTTGTGCGCGCATGTACTATGTCAACAATATTTTGTTAGTCATTACATCTTTTAGTTGATGTTTAGAGCCTGCCTTGCTTTTGTATCCATCCTTTTCTGTTCATTTTTTATGCTCTACTTAGGATGTCTAAATCAGTTATAACCACGCATTCAGAATTTCGACTTATTGAAATAAAGAAACATGAATGTCTCTTCTTTAAGTTTGAAAGTCTGCTGCTAAATTGTCGGTGGTGGTTTGCTGTTGTTTTCATCTGCATCTGACTATGTTGTAAATCTTCAAGTAATATGTTTAGAAATGAATGAAACACCTAAAGTTTAATTCACAAAAGATATAGCGAGTTTGGTTGACGTCAGAAGTCAACGACAAAAAGCTTCTTTACTTCGGAAAAACACTGTGACGCCAATACAGCAGCTGCGAGCGCACTTTGCATGATCTCTTGACGAACTTTTTCAAATAACAAGCCAATAATTCAAAATTTGCATGATGTACACTCAGGTATACCCACTACGATGCCTGCGCAAATGACTGCGTAATAGTTCAACTTGCATCGACTTATATCCATGTGCCTATAGTATATAGGAAACAATGGCGACACCTCCTCTAACACACGTTTTCGCCTTTCAAATTCACAGCATTACAGTAGGACTGTGCGTGAAATGGAATAGCCATTGCCACATGTCATCATCTTGCGCATGTTCATGTCATGTCCGTTTATATACTTCGCAACTTTCAAATACCAATCCAATAATTCAAAGCTCTCATCATGTACATTCAGGTATACTCACGACGATGGCTGCGCAATGACTGCGTAATAGTTCAACTTGCATTGACTTATATGAATGTGCCTACAAAATAGGAAACAATGGCGACACGTTCTATAACATACGTTTTTACCTTTCAAATTCACAGCATAACAGTAGGACTGTGCGTGAAATGGAATAGCCATTGCCACATGTCGTCATCTCGTGCGTGTTCATTTTATGTTGATTTACATACCTACGACAGTCATGAGCCCGCACTGTGTAAAATTGCGGTGGAATAACTATCTGAGTGACAAAATTTTTGAAAATAGCCCAATAAATTCTTGAATATTCGCTCGACACCCTCATTTAGATTTAAGGCATTGAAAACAACTAGCCACAACTCACACTATTTTTAAAGGTGTTGGTGCTCCCTGCGCAGTTCGTTGGACCTCGCGTCATGCTATTCGAACAAATGAAATTTCAATACCATTGTATGCTGAGTTCACTGGCGGGTCTATCTGAGGCATAAATGAAAGCTTATAATCATGGAAAGCTCAGGATACTGACTTCTTCAACACTAATCAAGTTTGGTGACCTCCTATAGGTGCGTATAATTGGCAATGTGCACGTCTCTCACTCCGCTAATTGTTGGACATGTCGTGATATGTGCCTTGACAGAAAAAAACTTTTGACAGGGTAATAATAGCCTAAAATTATCATGACTACTTTTTATCACTCCAATGCGTTAATTATGCTTGCACAGTTACCTTTAATAACGTAGAAGATGGAGACAGCAGTCAAAAGCATGTACACCAGCCTCAAGGTGAGGAAGCGTTGATAGCGCATTCGACCTTTTCTGTAGCACGTCTTCAAATCATCTGTAAAAGCGGAGTACGAGGCAAAACTCGATGCACCTGCTCCTTGCTGTTTAAATTCATTTCCGCAGTCGCTTATTTCTCATAGCATTAGCGATGGAAAGTATACAAAAACACAGCAAGGGTCAATCTGCAGCTGCCAACAACTATCACATTTAATTATTTTTTTTAATTTTGGTGACTCCACATTCCACGCTTCTAAAATGTCACGTTTCTAGAGGCTGTACAAAGTACAATAAAATGCATTGCACAGATTGAAGCAATAGTTAGACGACCTAAGAACACCAACATTCTCCAAATGCTAAGTGAAGTCACACGCATTCTAGGGCACATATGTTCATGTGTGCTTATAGACTTCACCTCTCTGTCCGTTTATGATTAGTATATGGCAAGCGCGCTATTTTCATGATAACACAATTAAAGATAGTGGTCTGGTTATGTTACACAGCCTGGGTGGATAGCTTACCAAACATTTATTGAAAAAGACGCACAGCAATGGTATTGAGCTAGGTGTAAAACATAATACCCCTTTATTGTGTAAAATCGAATACGTCGAAATACTCTTCAAGCTATATTGATTGGGACGAAATATGTCTACGGACGTCTAACGATGCAACTCTATCACAAATCACTGAACCTCAAGCATGTGCAATAATGAGAGGCAGTGTTGCATCAGTGTACTTTATGACTGTCGAAATTTAACAATAAAAAAGTGCTTCACCTCCCACTAAATGGAACCATGAGTAGCATGCGAAGCAGAGCATGGGACGACTTAAAGTTCCGTTCATCACGGGCAGTGTGCGACAAATTCAAAGCTAACAGTCCCACTTAGAGGTCTTTTCTTTGAGTGAGTGAATGAGTGAGTGAGTGAAAGAGTGACAACTTCATAGTGGTCAAAAATTAGCCGAAGCGGGACGGGAGCGTGGGCCCCACTAGCTTTACCAGGTGGCAACACCCAAGAAGGATCTGGAAGCTGAAGCCCCTCAGCGATGTCCTGGGTCCTCTGAACAAACAAGAGTTGGTTGATGAGCTCCGGGAAGTGCATTTCAGCTTCCCAGGATGGTTTTTCCTGTGCTTATGACCTGAGTTGAATGCACACAGCCAGAGCATATTCTATAAAAAACAGTACCCAGGCTTACAGTGCTGACAGAGAACTCAAAATTTTAGGTCAACGTTAGTTAGCATGGTTGGTGTGATTTACGTTTTTATCTGTAGTTTTCGGAGTGCGACCCCTTGAGCTTTATTCATTTAGGATCATTGTATTGAAGTTACCCTGATTATGTGCACACTACATTGAAACAATACCTGCAATTATTCGTGTTATGAAGTTCCAGGCCGTAACAGAGTGCTGGAGCCCCGCCGTGGTGGTCTAGTGGCTAAGGTACTCGGCTGCTGACCCGCAGGGCGCGGGTTCGAATCCCTGCTGCGGCGGCTGCATTTCCGATGGAGGCGGAAATGCTGTAGGCCCGTGTGCTCAGATGTGGGCGCACGTTAAAGAACCCCAGGTGGTCTAAATTTCCGGAGCCCTTCACTACGGCGTCTCTCATAATCATATAGTGGTTTTGGGACGTTAAACCCCACATATCAATCAACAGAGTGCTGGAATATATGTCTTATATTGCTTAATTTCTACGGTGAATTATTCGGCAAATTATATATGTCTATCCTCTGAATGTGGATTTCCAGCAGTTCCTGTGTGTGACCAGGAATGCGTAATGAACTACGCGTGATGTGAATCTGTTGTTAAGGGCACAAAGAAAAATTTAGCGGCAAGCAGTGATGTTTATTACTATGAATGTATCTCTTAAACGGTCTAAAATGGCCATGACGAGGCGTTTATTTAGTGACTGAATCGTAAGATCATGTTTTATTAGGTTAATTGTCTCGGCAAAAAAAAACCATCGGTGAGAAACATTTCTATGTGCTTCTTTTGTGTTGTGGCTCGATATGAGTAACACGTTTTGTTGCATCATATTCGTTTAAAGGCGCTTGTGTTTATATACTTGTGGAACCTATAATTTCCTTAATCCTGTATAATTCTTGCATGATTATGTACCAGTGTATGCTGTTACAACAAATGCGTGTTGGTGTGTCTATGCGTTTTGCTGCCACGGTGGCGCGGACGTAGTGTCCAGGCGTTTATTAGTCCTTTAGTCGTGTCCCCCAAGGCAAAGTGTAACAATTTGCCCTGAATAAAAATGCAAAATGAATGAAATTAATGATAGTCGTGCTTACCAGGACTGAAACCACTAGGCCTTATTAAAAATGGGCTTTCAACATACGGGGATGAGGTAATACTGATATGGGAGTCGTGTTAATTTCGCTTATTGTAGGTTGAGATGAACATATATAATACGTTAAAATTTGTAGCGTTACATCTCAAAACATTATATGAGTACGAAGATGCCGTATTAGAGGGCTCGGGAAATTTTGACTATCTGGTGTTCTTTATTTTGCACTGATATCGCAGAGTACTCGGTGTCTATCATTCGCTTCCGCAGAAATGCAAGT